ATAAAAATAAGTTAAAATTTTATACACTAAGACTAAATGTAATACTGCGCCTCACAATTAATAAATTTACTAGATATACTACGGCATTACACCGGTGTATCCTATTTTCCGGCTGCAGCTATCTAGTCATAAGGGTAATCACCAGAAACACCATATCAGCGTGACTGTGAATCGTCTGATCATGCCCGTATTAGGTTATCTTCATTTACATATTTGGAATAATCCGAGGGTAGGAAACTTAGTTTCCTATCGTCTGATCATGCCCATACTAAGTTATCTTCATTTACATATTTAGAAATAATCTGAGTGTATTAAATTTAGTTTATTTATACAACGAAAGCGTAGTAAAAGAACGAGAGGTGTTTTAGAAAATTATAATGACCACATCAACATGTGGAGAATATACTGTAACGCTTCGAACACTCCAACAGTTCCTGTTACCTAGTTTATTGAAGTTATCGATATAAAAAAAACAGATATCTAACCGCTCTCGTCTTATGCAGTAAGTTATTGATTTAAATAAAGTAATATTTTAAAATTTTAATAATTGTTTACTAATTTTTCGTAGTAAGTGGTTTCTACTGCTGCCATTCTACTAAAAGTGATGATGATAATGATAATTATCATTATTGGATAAGGTAATAAATATATTTATATTAATTATATCTAAAAAGCGATAAATATACTTATTTAAGTGGAACTCTAATTTTCTTAACGGTTATGAGAAGTTAATATGACAGTTATTTATATACAGTATCTTGATCTTGGTAATTTATTAGTTTAATTTTTTTTAGTTTTATACCACATTATTAACAGATTTGCGGCTCTTACTTGACATGCGGTACGAATTAAATGTGACGTATAAGTATAATCTGCAGAACAAAAAAATGGAATATCTCACATTTCATTTTTTGTAAAAACAGTAGGTTTCACGTTTCTAGCGTTGATGATTTTATTTATTTAAGTAAAAAGGTAAAATATATTAAAAAATAAATATTGTTAACCCGCCATGTAAAAACTTGATTTAATTCTGTCTTAATTTTTACTTAATTCATATGAAAGATATTAGGCTCATAATAATCATACCTAACTAAACTATATATTCAATAAATTAATCGTAATAAAAAATATAATTTTAAGATACGTTAAAAAAAGGTATAATAAAATTTTTTAGGTCGAAATTATATTAGAATGTCGACCCATTAAATAGTTGATTTACGAATGAATTAGTCGAATTTTGTTGGGGAAGGTTTGAAATCCTTCTAAGCATGTTATTATTCGATGCGAATCTTCGATAATGATTTATAATTTTTCTTCTTAACCTTCTTTCCTTGTAGAGTCGGAATTGATATGATCGATTAGAAAAAGACATTTTTTTACAAAATACAATACAAATTATAGGAAGGAATAAAAGGGTGGTTTTATCCGCTTGTAAAGTCCTTTCCTTTAAATAATTATCGTGTTTCTTTGGTTTCTTGTTATGAAAATGTGTATAAGGAAATAATGCACGAAAAAAAAAACGGCGAGGATGACCAAAAAAGTAGAATCAGTTAATGGTGATTTGTTTACAATGATTTTTTTATGAATAAGATTATATCAACATATATATATCACATGATATGATCATTAAAAAAATAATGATTAACGAATAAATTCGGTATTTAAAGAAAAATTTGTATTGTCAAAAAAAAAATAATACGGATAAAAACCATAAAGTTATTTTTTCTTTTTATATCTACTAACTTTTAAACCATGAATTTTCGTAATAATAAACCGCACATAATAATTCAAGTCATTATACCTGATTTATATTCAAAAGATCGGCAAAAGTTAAAATATTCCTGACTAATGATTGATTGATTGACAATTTTAATCCATTTAATCCAAAGTCATATGCAAATTTACGCCCAAATTAAAATATAAGGAGAATAATTTTAACAAGTTACTAATTTAAAATATGTCTATGACGTAATAAAGAGATGGACAATATTGTAATTATTTAAAATAGCGTAATAATTACAAAGAAAAGTTTATAATAGTCCAAGTTTTAACTTCTTTACCTTCCTTTGTTATTATTTGCATGCATTAAAAAAACAAAAAATTCTTTTCTCAATAACGGCGTATTTATCCATTTTCTCTCTAACCTATTTTGTATTAGTTGGAAGTTTATTTTGATTTATTAGCCCTTATACAGTATATTATAGTATATTTTTAAATTACCATATTTGCTCAAAAATAAGTAAGTTGTAAAATTTTTGAATATTAATAAATGTAAATAATACTTACAATGAAGGGAATATAACACAACAAATTAAATGATCATAAGATGAGATTTAGTGTGATTTTGCTATAGATATTGAACAAATATTTTAATTATTTTGTAGAAAATAATTCTTACGCTATTTACGCTAATTTGAATATTTACAATATTGTTCCTGCATTCCTTCACTTTTCTTTGTTATTTGAAAGCATGAAATGTATAAAGTTTGACGGAAAAACCCTCAAAAAAAAAAAAATTTTTTCCTACTAATTTCCAAATATTTCATTACGTAATTGACCGACTAAAATGATTATATATCTTTTTAATTGTTCAAATTTATAAATGTCATTATCATGCACACGAAAAGTTTCGATTAATTGTCTTGGATGATGTTCATAAAATTAGAAAAAATTGTCGGGTTGTTTTTAAATCATTTTTCATCTTTGAGGCATATTTCAAATACCGTATACTTCCGATATTAAGCACCCCACCCGAAAATAAGCACCCTGGCCAGAATTATGAAAATTTTGGCCTACGTTATGCTGTTTCTGGCCAGCATTACGGTCAAAAAAGGGTGCTTAATTTAGGAAGTATACGGTATTTACAAAAAAACAATTCTGTTCGTAAAAATTTGGACAAATATGACAATTTTAATTTAATTAATACACAATATAAGGAACCTGTTATATAGTGATGAACATCATCCGAGACAATTAATCGGAACTTTTCGTGTGCATGATGATAAATAAATTCAGAAATTGAAACCACTTTAAAGAAAAAAAATTTATACTTGTAGCCCAATCTTTAAGCGTAATCATTAAACTTTACTAAACCATATATTCTATATATATTTCGTAACGGTTTGTACTTTGTAATCCTGGTTTTTTTTAAAAAAAAAACGAAAACAAAGAAATAATATCAAGATCATATTTTTGCAACATTTTTTACATTTAGTTACATTTTAGTCAACATTTCAGGATTTTAAAAACGAACCACTTTTAATTTACGTTATAGATATAACTCATCGAAAATAAAAAGGTGGCTTGTTTGGGTGTATCTGGGTCAATTTAGATTGAGTAGGTGGCGCTTTAGCTAGTTTGTAATTTGTATTTTATGTGAGCAATTTTTACATCAATGAAGTTTAGCGTGCCCAAACAAGGGTAATATTCCAAAGAAAAAAATGAAAGGGTGTAGTAATGTGAAAATATTCGGCTGGTAATACCATAATCGACCAAAATTTAAATTCGAGTAAATAAAATAATTATCGATAAATAATGAATATAAATTTAAAAGAGATTTAACGATATATCATTCATGTAATTTAAGATCGGTGACATTTCGGTGTGTAACATAAATTTAAGATGTGTTGAAAAATGAATAGTAAATTTTTCTAGGGTAACATTATTTGGCGCATGGCGACACTATCACGTGACTTAATAAATTTTAATTGGCTGATTTTTCATTTTTGATCGGTTAATTTTTTTTTTATTTCACAAAGAACATTTTATTTACGGTAAAATTTTATTTGTTAATACAATATTAAAACTACAAAATTATACACTTAGTGGGATTTAAAAATTATTTTATGCTTTATAAATTGTTTTATTGATTATGTTTTATTGATTAGAGAAATAAAAATTAATGAATTTATTTGAAAAATCTAACAATAATGGTAAGAAAATAAATAGTGATAAAAAAAAGAAAAATTACAATTATAAAATGAAAAAATGCCAATAAAAAGCAAAAAAAGGAAATAAGAAGTTATAACGTTAATAATGATGAAAGAAAAAAGGAAACAAAAAGAAATGACGTGGGATGAAAATAAAAGGAATGAAAAAAAGTGTAAAAAGGATAATAAGGACAAAGGAAGTGTAAAAAGATGATAAGGATGAAAGAGAAATGAAAAGGAGGTGAAAGGGTGATAGAAGATGAAAAGAAAGTGAGAAAGATAGTGATAAATGAAAAGGAAGTGAGAAGGAAGTAATAAGGAGGATAGGAGACAAAAAGGAAGTGAGAAGGAAGTAAAAAGGATGATAGAAGGCGAAAAAGAAGTAAGAAGATGATGGTGAACGAAAGGGAAGTAAGAAGGAAGTGTAAAAAGTGATAGGAGAAGAAAAAGAAGTAAGAAAGATGATGGTGAACGAAAGGGAAGTAAGAAGGAAGTGTAAAAAGTGATAGGAGAAGAAAAGAAAGCGAAAATAATAATGAAAAATAAAAGTAAATAAAAGGATGATGGAGGATAAAAGGAAGTAAAAAGGAGAAGGAAATAAAAAAATAAAGAGCAAAAAAGAAGTGAAAAGAACGATAGAAAGACGAAAAAAAGCGAAGAAAAAACAATCAAGAACACCAACCATAAAAAAGGAACAAAAGACTGATTAGTATTATTTAAAATAAAGTGAAAAAGTAATAAAAACAAGAAAAACATAAAAAGTAATAAAACAAGAAAGACATGACTCAAATAAAAAGAAGCCATCTCATTATCTAAAAAAAAAAAAATAAAGCTAGCGTTAGTAATAAAGTGAAGAGTCATTAAATACGAAAAAAACAAAAAAATTGCCTCAAAGTCGAAATAGCATAAAAAAAAGGAAAAAAAATTATCGTTGATGGCTGATTTTTTAACTTAGCTAATTTTTGATCGGTTAAACTTAAAATTTTATTGCGAAGATATTTTAAAAAATTTTTTTTTTTTGCAAACATATTTATTCAAAATAATCTTATTTAATGAAATTTTATTTGCAAATATTAAAATTTAAATCACACATTTACGATTTTAAAGAAAAAATCACCGTATTTATTTTTAATGAAGTGATACAAATAAAAAAAAACAATAACAATAAATAAAAAAGATAAGTAAATTACAATGATCAAGGAGAAAGATGCTAATAAAAAAA